GAACTGCAAACAAACTGACTTACTCCTCCACTAACCCTCCGATCCCCATATCCAATATCGACAATTACCCCATATTGTCACGGCTGCTGCTTCGAAGCCTGCTGTGCCTGCAGTGTGACAGAAGGGTAGTATTTGATTCTCTGGGATGAGAACACTTTGGAAACCAGTGCACTTCTGCATTAATCAATCTTCTTCAAATCCTCATACCTGAAGTGGATGAAAATTACTGGCAGAAGCCATGTAAATGGAAACAATGAGTATGTTTTGGTATACCACTGCTAATTTTACTCGCTTATTAATTGAGTAATAATCTGTAATATTGTAAATCTGTGCAGTTTTACTCATTTGACTAGTCTGGTTTTTAATATAATGCCTCAAGCCACCTAAAGGAACTTTACTGTGCTGTAAGATAAAGACCCCACAATATAAAAGTGAAAATGAGACAGAAACCTGGCTCAGGGAGGGGCAGCCATGTGAGCTGCTGGGGATGAGGTGAAAGAGAAGAAAAAAAGGAGACAGGACCAAATACACACTACAGGAGGCATCTGCTTCATTTAAGACTGCTTCAGTAGCTGGTATCAGTTTGCACACATGCAGGTGTTCTTCTCATTTCCATAATATCATTTGTACATGCCGCTGTCAAATAAGCCAAAGGGAAGTCCAGAATAACTTCTGAGTTATTGAGGAATTCAAGCTGGATGGAGGATCTGACGAACCTGCAGCCAACAAGCTAACAGCAGGTCTCCCTCCAGTAAGCGCTCAGGGTAACAGCAGGAGAAGGTCTGAGAGTAAATCCCCTGTATCAGCTTTATGAACTGGAAACACAAGAGAATTGGCATCATGACTACATGTGTGCATGAGAGATTTGGATGTTATGTAATGATTCGTGATTATGAATTATAGCAGCTTAGTGAATTTCTCGTCCTGGCTTTTGACAGATAAACAAACTCAGTATTAGATTTAAAAGGCAGATGAAATACTGCCAGAGTGGCTTTGAACTACCCCCCCAAGATTTTTATTACTTGTTTGGGAACAACTTATTTGCAGCAAAACAGACCACAGAGCAACATTAGCTGCATTTGGAGCCAGCTCATGAGTTTTAAAAAGTTCCTATCACATTTTGGGAAATAGGAATCAAGACTGCTGTCAGCTTTTTAGTTTAAGTAGAGCATAAACTAATAAGCTTCTTCTCATCTAAACCTAATATTTCTTCTTTTAGCAGCTTAATGCTCCATTTTATTCACCTGCTTGATGCGGGGCAGGCAGGTTGATGAGAGCGTTTTTAGTGAACACAATTAGCTAACAGATGCTAAACTGAGCTGTAAAGCAGCGACTCATTTTACCGCTAATTATCTAAGCCAACAACAGTGAATTTTTAAAGTTTGAATCCAGATGACTCTGTGGAGCAGTTGGGCACATGTGTAGAAAAGTGCAGACTTTGAAAAACAAATTGGAAGTGAAGCATACCAACGGGTTCTTCTCCACCTCTGCAAAGGGGATGAATAGCAGCAATGCAAAATACAAAATACTGTACTGGCTGTGAGATGTAGAGCGTGTGAAGTGTACACATGCCGAGATGAATTTCTTTTATGTGCAGACTTACTAAAGATTACTCTGACTCTGTAACTGTGTGAAACTGAAGGAGCTGAGCTGTGAACCTCGTATGTCTGACAGCCTGTGTTCATCATACATGCAAATGGAACATTTGAGCAGAAATCTATTTATCATTAATTATTTTATTCACAGCCTCTCATTACAGACAATCGAATCGTTAAATGTCTCATCAGTCACACATGCAATGATAGTAATGCATTCATTCACTCAACCAGCCGCTTGCCTGTTTTCACCCCATTCATCAACCCTTCAGGTTGCACTTCACAGAGGTTCACCGGGGCTACGACTGCTGCTGATGAGAGCCAGCTTGTCAGGACAAGTGGCACACACACACTTGTATGTAGAGCTGGGCGATAGAA